CATAAATTTTAATTCTCTGGATACTTTCTTGATTTCCATCTAACGAACCACCCACCCACCCACTCGCCTTACTTCCTTCCTTCGTTTGTTCGTTATTTTCCCATTTGACTGCGTGATTTATTATCCGTTTTTATGACAGAGAAAAGCGTGGAGAAGACGGGAGGAGGGGGCGGAGAAAGTGTAGGGTAGTGTGTGGGTGTGGACTCATATAAACTGATTGACTGGCTGGCTGGCTCGGTTCAACATAGAACAAAGAGATTCGAGAGAACGATATATATTGAGCAGAAATGTTAGGGAGAAAGGATGTTAACATGAAAAAAAACAATTGGTTATTGATGGATATGTCAGAGCATATAGAGTGATGAGTGCATCTCAGTCATCATTGAGAATCATATTTCTGAGCCATATATATCACTGGTTGTCTTCAGACGGCAGTCTTCACTTCCCTACATGACTGACACAAACTAATTGTTAACGATTTCATGGAATGACTCCAAGTTTTAGATTTGACTGCAGCTAACCCGTTTCCAACCTGATCTTATGACAGCTAACATTGCATGTAGAAGGTGATGGCTAGGCATGCGTAACACAGATACATAAACAATAGAAGTATAGTTTAGCTTCACTTTTTAGATTTCTCATCATAAACCAAATCCACAGTTAGAGATTTATTTTATTTTACTTATTGTTCTCTTGGTTTCCTAGTGGAATATAGGGCTTCAACTGCACGTCTCCACTTGCTTCTGTCTTCTTCTGTACTTTTCACATGCATCTATGTTAATCCATACTGTTTCAACTCTTCTTCACACGATCTCCTCCATGTCACCCTTGCACTGACGTCCCACTCGCCGCTTCCCTTTCGGGTTCCAATCGAGCACTGGCCTGACGCGCGATGTCACCCAGCGGCTTCCTCAGCGAGTGTCCAATCCATCTCCACTTTCTCCTGCATATTTGTTGGGCGATTGGTTCTTGTTTTGTTTCTTCCCATAGTTTCTTGTTGGTTCTTGTTCTTTCCGGCCATCTGATCTTCAGTATAGAGCCAGCGAAGACAGTTGTTGATAAAGGTGTGCAACAGGCTGTTGGAAATATTCTTTGTGACACACTGGCCAAGTTTCTGATCCATGCGTATAGAAGAACTGACTCACTTGACGTTTGTAATGAAAATCCAAATCACTTTGTTGTTGATGCTAAAGAGTGACAGTGGAAAATTTCCAGATTGGTTTCAGGTTGATGAATGTGTTTCTCGCCTTCCCGATTCTCGATTTGACATCTTCGTCCGTTCCTCCTGTAGTTGAGACAATGCTCCCTAGATAAGTGAATGAAGTAACCTCTTTCAAATCCCTCCCGTTGATGGTGATTAGCACTGGATGTTGCTGTTGTTGCTGTTGTTGGTTGGTTATTTTCATAACCTCCGTCTTGTCTATGTTCACCTGGAGTCCTGTCTTCTCTGGCTGCTTCTTCGACCAGTTTGTCGGTTTTCGCTTGTAGGTCTTCGATTTTGTGTGACATCAAACATAAATCATCCACGCGCAAAATCCAGGTCTTCTAGGTTCTTCACGTTGGTCCAGGATATCCGTGTCTTCTCTTTTCCCACTGTCTGACGCATAATCCAGTCCACCACAATTATGAATATCATTGGTGATAATAAGCACCCTTGTCTGACTCCTGTGTTTACTCCAAACGCCTCGCTGAGTTTTCCGTTGTGGATGACTTGACATGTGCCGTTGTCGTACAGTTGTTGAATGAGGTTGATGAATATTTGGGGTACGCCGTAGTACTCGAGTAGTTTCCCAATTACTTCGCGGTCAACGCTGTCGAAGGCCTTCTGAAAGTCTATAAAGTTGAGTTAGAGGTTTGATTGACATTCCATGCTTTGTTCTGGGATGATGATTCGTAGATTTGAAATTTGGTCGGAACATGATTTGCCTTTCTTGAATCCAGCTTGTTCTGGTCGGAGTTCTGCATCCAGTGCGTTCTTTATTCACAGTTAGAGAGATCATTGAAAATCACCAGGAACAGCAAGACAGAAATGTTTACTTCTTCTCCAAGAAGAGACATTCAGGGAAGAGTTACTCCTCTTTTTGGAGATATCATTCTCAAGCTATATAATCGCGTTTATGTAGGGTAAATTATCTCAGCAACATAAGGAAGAATATTTCCAAAGATGTGTCATCAGAATTGTAAATTTTGGATAACAAATCAAGTAGTGTAGAAAACGTTGTACATGGAATATGGTAGCCCAAAATGTTCAAACAGGCCGCCAAGGTCAAGGTCGTAAGATAAACTGAAATTAAATAAGTTCAGTGACGTAATCTAATTGAAGGAGGTGAGTAGAATTCAGCCAAAATTTGAACCAGAGTTAAGTTAAAAACAGTGGTCATAAGGGGTGAAGATTTCTTATGCGGTGAGGGAAGAGAATGTTATACAATCAAGAAACAAAAACACAAAGATTACGTATTTGGTGTTGAGATAGATCAGGACCATTGTAGATTTAGTGACTGAACAAACTTATTTTGTATACAGAATTTCGGTTTTAACATGTGAACTGCCATTGCTTCTGCGTGGTTTGAAGAAGTTTGATTCGTGCTCCTCTTTTAGCAAGGTTCCCACGTATTCTGTAGATAACTTGGAAGTTTCTTTGTGGGTTGTTTAGTTTGGTGTCCAGATTCGATCAGGTGTTCCAGGATACAGCTTCGGACCAGAGGATTTTTTCCTCCTTCATAAATCCATGACCGTGCGCAAGTGTTCGATGATACGTTTGGTTATCTAGCGCCACACGAGGAGGTGAATTGGTAGATGCCCAATGATGAGGCTGGCCAACAGTGGTAGCTTGTCCTTCACGGTGTTCATGCAAATCATTGGTTTCCTAGAGGAGGTTAGTCGGAGTTAAGCCACGAAGAAGGTTGTCTTCAGTGAGTGAGACAGGCGGTTTCCCAGTATTTGTGTCGATGAGTCTCCATTGAATTGTAGATTCAGGTAGAAACATATTTTGGAAGCTAAAAGTGTGGGCGGTTTCATAGATTTTGTGATGGGAAGTTCTGGGTAGCCATTTTCGAGGTGTTCAGCTCCACTTTCATAGTGTCAGAGCTACAAATTCTGAGAATTTTATGGCTCAGTGAAGGAATTAGGTTACGTTTTGCATGTAGGAGCGCCCAGCTATGAAAGTTAGTGAGTTGTTCATTCCATGTCGGCTTTCTATAGATGGATCTTTCTAGTATTTCATATTGTTCAAGTTTTGTTAATTGAACGTCCGGAAGTGATATTTTTGTGTCGGAATCCATCTCTAATGAGAAGTGATACGGAAGATAGATGGTTGCTGGGAAAAAGTCCAGGATGTCCTCCAAATTCTCTTCATCAATGGAGATAATGAATGTATCGTCCACGTATTTCCTGTAAAACTCAAAGCTGTCAATCATTTTCATCAGGTAAATGTTTTCCGGTTTTGACGTGAGAAAATTTGTAGGCAGTGGGCTTAGTGGTGAGCTTAGAAAATTTACTATATATATATATCGCTGAAAAGAGAAACTCTTCGCTGAACGCCTTTTCTTTTATATGACTCAATGGGTACTTTTAGGTTATTTCTCCCTTGTTTGAGACTCTTCAGAACCGTGCACCGACGATCCCACTCACCGGTATTGGCCGAATTCAGAACCTTCCAGTTACAAGATCAAGTTTGTTGTACACTCAGTCACTTGGGTTAAATTCAATGACCAGCTCATGAGTTCTAACTTCTGCCGATTCGTGATATGTAGCGCGACCTCCAGCTAGTGTCAGTGCCGGAGAGTGTCCATCCTCACACCCACAAACTTAGCTGACCCCAGCTGATCATGAACTTCAGGTAGCTTTAATTACTGTTATAGTGACACTGGCCTGCTTAAATCATGAGGCTATCAAATTTTCCACTCAACGCAATGGCTCAAATTTACATGAAAGTATATATACTACTGGCTGATTCGGATGAATAGTTTTCTGCTAATCCAATCTATCAGTAGCGTTTTTTAGCCAGATCGAGGTGGTCTAAAGACGGCGCAGAGCTCATCAGTTTGTCGAGATAGATTTACCGCTGTCAGCGACACAAGGAGCAACATCCGAATTCTGTTCAACAGTAATTTCAAGTCAGTCATAACTTTTATTTGTGTTCAGAGACTTGCCTCACACGCTTCACTGAAAACACTCCTTACAGGATATTTCACATTTTTTCATCAACAGATACTTTGCCTTCGATGTCTTGGCATTGAGAATCAGAGATAGATGACTAGAAAAGAATTAGCAACAGTGGAATCAACCAAGATCCTATTGCCCAATGGAAATGCAGAAGGAATAGAAATGAGTTAGATGTTAGACGGAGAAGGTCGTATGGAAAAGAAATAAGAGTTTGTAGGCACCCGTAGCATCAGAAAAAAACACCACAGAGAAAAAAAATACAATGAAGACATAACCCTGAAGCCTTAGACTCCACTGGAGACCCCAGAGGACGAATAACACTAACAATAACGTATAATATTACTACCTTTGAGTTTGTTTCTGGGTTAGACTGAATGCTCATTCTTGACATCATAACTTGGCGTTAACATGGCGCCTAATCATACCATCAGTTGTATGCAGGGAGAGTGACATACATTCGACATAAAAGAAAAGAGTATTAAATCTGCATTCCACATGCAGTTTACAGGCATAAAAGAATTTTTTTAAAAAGCGCCTCTATAATCAATAAAATCAATATCAAAATCGCCACAAGAAAAAATGCAAGCAGCAGGCAAGAAGAGCATTAGCATAGCACTTTATCATTGCAAGAAGAATAGTTATCATACAAAATGAACAATGAATAACAGGCGCAAGCTCCTCCTGTGTGCTTGGGCACATGTGTGTGAGCTAGCAAAGATAGGCAATCATGTTAGCCAATCAAATCACTTTAAAATAGAATGCAATCGATTGCGCGCGCGTGCGCGCACACACACATATATATACAGATATATACATCATATATATACATAACCTACTACTAGGCGCTAGCATCTGTAAACTGGCCTCAACGTTATCTGCAATATATAAAATAATAGAGAAAGAGTGTAATTAAAGGGTAAACTGAATTGTTGAATTCTTCGTAGGAGAATTTTGCCTTCAAGTGCTTTCTGTGTGGTTCCTACCGACATCCAGTCAATCAATCAATCAATAAATCTTTGGTAACAGCCTTCTTGAGTCGATGGTGAAGCGGTAGAATGTCCGCCAGCCGCACATGTGGTCCACGGTTCAATCCACGGCCGACGCATTCCTAAACATCGCTTCGCCTGGTAAAATAGGAAGGTTGAATGGGCGTCTAGCAATCCCATGCTGTAAAAATAAAACCATTTCTAGTTTCAGACTCTTTAGCAGTGCCCACCCATATCATCATCAGTGAGTATCTCTTCTCTATGTCCTCAACTTTGTGAGCCCAACTGAACACTCTTCACATTTATTCTAGCACTCTTTATCTATGAAAGTATTTACTCCTGTGCTGTTGAATAATTTTTCATAAGATTTCATCCATTTTCATGGATGCGATCATTTTTTTGCAAAAAAACTATATACTACTGATCGATTGACTTGATTAGTAATATTATATACCACTCATATCAACCAGTAGTACTTGATAGCCAGTCAGCCAGCCAGCCATATCAAGGTGATCTAAACGCCTCTGGACGGTCGTTTCACTCGTTTAAGGGCCGAGCTCTCCACCAGCAGTCTACTCAGTCTGACTCAGTTTAATGACAGCGAAATCAGTGTTCAAGCTACGCATCCAGTGTGTGTGTGTGTGTTGTCCATTTCTATCTGGCTGGCCATAGAGCATTACAAGTTGATGCGAGCGATACTCACCAACTACTCATAACACTCCATCAGTAGTGTACAGCATCATGCATGCATTTAAGGATCTTTCATACCTAACAGTTAGTTACCTCAAGGTACAATGCTGGTCACACACACACACACACACAAGCGTGGTGAGCTAATCATGTCCAAATTCTAGTTCATGTTTAGCCTCGTAGTGGCTTGTGTACATACATACATACTGATGAATCGAAACTGGGCGATGCATTTTCCATTTTCTAAAATACCCCTTTTATTTGTTTACCAATATATGCTCACTCACTCAATTATTTAATTAATTAATTAATTGTGTGTTTTTTAAAAAAAACAAGCAGAAATTATAAGCACTGTCATAAATCAAATGTCAAAGAAGGTGAGGCATTTTATTTTGGAGATATATAATCTGCTTTTTTCTCTCTCTCCAAATTTCCCACTTACCAGCTATCATCAATCTCTTACACTAATCTCTGTGCATTACAAGGTATGACATTTCGATTTATAATAATAATAATGATTATTGTTATTATTATTATAACCGTAGGTTCTCAGGGGAATATATGGCTTCAGCATCAACAACGATAACAACATACGTCGCCATTTAATTCTGTTCTCTGGAGTTCCTTTTAGCTGACTTCACGAATACTCACTCATAAGCTATCATCTATTCCTTTGCACACAGTTTCCTCTGTGTGACCGTCTAAAAACGATGCTAAAATCGCTGTTTTTCATTCAAGTTCTACCCAATCGATGGTCTACATGGCTTGTGATATGACTCATCGATCTTCACAACGTGTCTGTGATCCATTTCCCTTTTGTTTTGATTCCATTTACTGATGGCAACGTTTCGAGCACAATTTATTGCTGCTCATAATCATATCAAGGCACTACTCACACTAATTTATGACTTCGTTTATATAATTCCTTCATTATTTTTCATCGCTTCACGTGAGTGGTTGTAGTGTTTTCCATGTATCTGGTATGGGTGATGTGTCATTCCTATTGCATGTGTTGGGCGTAGATTCGATGAACAAAGATTCAGCAAGCGACCTCCCTCTATCTCTCCACCTTCCTAAATTAATTTGTATAATTTTGACTGTTTCCCACTCATCCTATTTTGTGGTTATGTGTTAATGCATGCAGTGCAATGCGGTGCTGAGCTTTTTTCCAAATTACTTATCTCCTCGGGGTCAACCATTCTTGGCTAAATTCTTATGTCCCAACAATCAGACTATCCAAGTATTGGTTTGTAGGGATTTGGTTGATTGGTTACAGGATTTCATCATGAGCTGACATCAGTTACAGAACCATTGGAAAGCCAGCTGGGACTACTGGACAGCTGTCTCCTCCGTCCTAGTTTGGGACTCTTCAGCATTACGCACCCACCGGGGTTCGAACCCAGGACCTTATTGTTTACAAGGCGAGCTCGTATACCATTAAGCCACTGGGACCCGATCCAGAAGTTAGAATTCATGGGCCATTGGATCGGGTCCCAGTGGCCTAATTGTATACGAGCTCACCTTGTAACCAGAAGGTCCTGGGTTCGAACCCCGTAGTGTGGGTGCGTACTGTTGAAGAGTCCCAGACCAGGCTGATGAAACAGCTGTCCAGTACCCCCAGCTGGGTTTCCAATGGTTCTCTAACCAATTTCAGCTCATGATGAAATCCTGTAACCAATCTGACTATCCCCGACCTACTAGTTTGACTTATGTAGTTTACCTTACTCACAGTCATTGCAAGGTATTTTGTAAACTATATTATTTTATCTAATTGGGTCAGTCTACAGGGTCCTTTAGCCTACAGAGCTTGTCCTACCTGAGTGAGTTTGTAGGTTTGATTGCCACCCTAATTCCTGATTTATTGAGAATCCTACGAAGAGTCTCAAATATCCCTCTCTAGTTATGGTATAATTGTAGATGCCTTATATGCTCCCCTATTTATGTTATCATTATTAGTTTCCTCATTATTTTTATTTGGCTTTCGGCATTTTCTGATCTTCCTAATGAATTTTGTAGGATAGTTATTTGATACCAACGCTCCTTCTTCTATCTGTTTCATTTCATCATTTAGGTGTTTTCTTGTACTGTTTAGTGCTATTGCTCGGTTTGTTAAACACTTAACTAAGCCTGCCTGCCTTAACAGATAACGAAGGATGAGATGAATTAAAGTCTAAATATCTATTAGCAGAATGCGTTGGCTCTTTATAAACGCTAATGTGCAGTTCACCTTCTTCTATTCGTTTTATTTTACAATCTAACATAGCTAATTCTCCTTGTTCATTTTCCCTCTACTGGTGATTTAATATATATCAAGAAGCTAGAGAGAGATGTTCTCTTTTTAACACTGTGTTTGCAAGCGCCATCCGCATATCTTCACCATATCTTTGCAGTGGGATTAAATGTATTAAGAGCAATATTTTCCCAGCTATCCATAAATATATCTACTACGATAGGGGATATTGGTGATCCATCCCATTGCTACACCTTCTGTTTGTCTATATATTTTGCCCTGGAATTTAAAGATAGTAGATGTTAGGTACAACTGAATTCCTAAAATAATATCCTCAATGGCCCGCTTCGTCCTGTTAGAGAAGTAATACAAATAGGTGGAGAGAGAGAGAAAGGGGTCGATTACTGATGCCTTGTTCATCGAGTCTACACCCAACAGGTGCAACAGAAATGACCCATCACCCATACAGGAAATATGGAAAATACTACCACTAATCAAGCGAAGCTATGAAAAATAGTGGAATTATATAAACGAAGTCAGGAAGTTGTATGGGTATTGCCTTGATATGATTATGAGCAGTAATAAATTGTGCTCGAAACGTTGCCATCGGTAAATATTACTGTATAACAAACACTGTGAGACTTTATCAAAATAAACTTTACCCACAATGAAATTATACTCTACCAAGACAGTACAAAAGTTCTATTCTTATATCCCTTTTCTATGCCATATTCATTGGGTGATAGGCTCTTCTTACCTGCTGGTACCCTGCTAGAGTCCCCTGTTACTCATCTATTCTAACCGGCCATCTGGTCTTCAATAAAGAGCAATGGTAACTGTCGGTAAAATTACTAAGTATGAAGAACAAGACTCAAGTCAGTTACTCCATACGGTTGAGAGACTCGACGCATGCGTCACCAGAAGCATTTTCAACAGACTACTGGAGATTTGTATCAACAGCTGACTTCGTGGACTCCACACCCCACAGATCAAATGGCCGGTCAGTAACAATAAGCGATAAGGAACTTGTTTGAAAACAAATGACACTCGGAGGATTAGAAGAAATTTCAGCCCAGAAGGTAATTCAATCTTAGAAGACCTCAGACAGTCCGACTACAAGTTGACCCAAGTTGACTAATTTTGTCGTACACATACCCTTTTTTTCTTTTTTGACAGTGGCGTTTTTTAGACCTAACTGTTCTAGAATACTACATTTATCTTTACAGTAGAGAGTTGTTTGCATTCCCCCACACGCACTTTGTGACCTTGGAACCCTATTGGTTGTTGACTATATTGTCTTATCAATTCAATTAGTATCTCTCAAGGTCATTTAAAGAATTTAAATACGCAATTGTTGTTAACGCTTTTCGGCTGTTGATTTGAGACAGTGAAAGCTCTTTACGTCAGCGGATTGTCTTCGTGTCTTCTTGAGTCGAGGGTTCGGCGGTATCATATCGTATTGTCGTTGCTGTTGGTAATATTGACTGGAATAGTAGGCTCACAAATCGACTAGGTGGAAAGTTCGTTAGTGCAAACTACTAAGTGTATTAACAGTCATAACAGAACTCTAACAGTACAGCGAATAGATCAAGGAGCTTTTGCCCAACAAATATTTAGAAGGAAATAGTAACATCACATGTCAGATCCTCGAGTGGATCTTCAATAAGAAATGACAAGTAGGACAGTGGTCAGATTTGTGACATGGAGGAGATCATTTGAAGAGGAAATCAAAGCCTACAATCATCACTCCTGAAGTCAGCTAAAAGAAGACTACACAGAACAGAGTTAAATGCAGATGTGTTGCTGGCTGAAGCTGTATGTTCCATTCGGAACTCACAGGAATAATAATAATAATGGTAACTACTTACCGCGGACAAGCAGGTTGTCACCAGACGACAGACGAGTGCCTTTATCATTTTTCGCTTCACATTCATATTTCCCTTCGTCTTCTTCAATTAAATTTTGAATACGTAAATTGCCAACATCTAAAAATTGACAACAACAACAATAAAAAACAATTTCAATGTAAAAATCCCGCCAAAAGTTTCTTCTGAAAACCAAAAAAACACGTTCAGAGATCACAATATATGCGTGATGAATATATATTTACATATATGTTTCCGAAATAATGGCTAGAATGCTAGAAACATTTGAAAACGATTATGGTGCAGACAAACCAATAAAATCACTTCATTCAATGCTGTACAGATCAAAAGATCTGTTCAACAGCAACAAGAGACAAGTTCAGCACACTGTCGACAAAATAAATTACATAAAAACTGCAGTAAACACTAGGTTTCAGTCATATTTGGAGCCCTCTTCGACTCGGAATTAAAGAAAATTAACTAGCTTTCAAAAGATACACTATTTATTCTTGCTTCACATTTGAAACAGAGAAACACCAAGAGTAGTGCTTCGCATATATCCGTTCAGTCCGTCCCTCTTTATTTCTTTCTCTGTAACTATTGGCCAGTTTACTAACTTCTAGAGCTCTTGGTTGATTATTCTTCCTGTTCAACTATGTGGTCTTTTGATAAAAGTCTATGATCTTCATCGTTATCGCTCATAAATGTTCCAACCTGCACCAGTCACCATCAATGGGGGGGGATTTAACAGAGGTTACTTCCTGCTTTCACTTATCCGGCTAAGAAGCACAGTTTCAAACACAGGCAGTCGGAACGGGTGAAAATGTCAAAGCCAGTCAGCCAGCCAGCCAGAATCGGAAAGGCAGGATACGCCTTCATCAATCTGAGACCAGTTTGGAAATCTGGTCTGGATTTGGATTTTCAACACCAGTGTGAAGTCAGCAAGTCAGTCAGTCACTTCTTCTATACGGGTCATAAACTTGGCGTGCGTATCACGAAAAGCATTTCCAACAGGCCAGTGAACACACTTTAATCAACAGCTCCATACTGAACATCAAATGGCCGGATGGCCGACTGGCCAGAAAGAATCAGCAACACGAACCTCTACAGTGGAACAAACCAACAGGTGAGAGCCAATTGCTCGACAAATAATTAAAAGAGAAAATGGAGATGGATCGGTTTGGCATATGCTACTGAGGAGGTCGTCGAATTATATCGCGCGCAATGCAGGCCATCACTCGGATGGAATCCGAATGGAAAGCGAGAGTGGTTAGTCGGTGTGGCGGTGAGACGGAGGAGATCGTAAGCGGAGGAGGAGGAGGTGAAGATGAGAGATTATGAACAGTAATCATCCTTACTTTACTTTACTTCAGCTATCTCCTACGGGAGGATGAGCCGGCTTCATGAACATCTCGAATCATCGCTGCCCAGGCGCGGCGATATTGTAGGAGAGTTCATGAAGTTAATTAGGAATTTGGTACGAGTGATGTCCCCAGAATCGCTCGGCCTTTTGTTTGAGAGCGCAGCTCTAGCCTTTACACAACCAAGTGTTGTGATGAGAGATGGTTGCTAGCCAAATTGGTTGACAATAATTGAGGTCAAAGGTCAAGATGGACAGGCGGATACAGTTAATATATAGATGAGCTGACACAGCCACAAGAGATGCAAGATTAACTTTGTGTGAGAAACAACCAATCAACAGACTGTATTTTCTACTAACATTAACCTACAATAATGTACATCAAAATCTATAAATATGTGTTGATTTTCCGTAATAAACGTTCTGTTGCCTGGCCCTTGTCTTCTGTTGTTACAGTGTGACCTACAAGGCAGTAGGAGTGGAGTAGCAGCCGGTGACCGTAGTTCGGTTCATACGCCTTTTTGAATGGGGCCAGACATCCAGGACATCCAACAAGCCCTTTGTCCATACGTCTACCGGTGAACTCCAGTGAGCTTCATACGCCAGTCGTTGGAGGTTTGGAAACAGGATTTAGCCATCTCCCCTAGACTGTCATCCAATGGACAGTCAACCCGGTGAAGAGCGCCGGGCATCCGCTTTCGCCCTTTCACTTTGGTGAAAAACACCTCCGCCACGTGAAGGCAGTGAGTAGGACTTCCTAAGGAGAGGCTATGTAAGACGCCCGGTCATATGGGGGCCTTTCAAGAGGTGTGTGGAGGGGTGGCCAACCCGCAGCGCGAGGCACCCACCCCCGACCATCCTGATTCTTTGGAGGCTAATCATGGTGCCAGCCAGCTGAAGAGTACAGCAGAGAGTAGAACAAAGTGGAGGTGTGTGTGTTGAAGCCGTATGCTCCACTCTGAACCCAAGAGAGTAGTCATTCTAGTTTTGTTAACCACACCAAATAATAAAACGTTACTTGGTTGACCAGTTGCCTATTCTATATATATATATATATAATTATTTCCCTCTCTCCTCAGTTTGTAGAAAAAGAAACGAAAACAAATCGCTTGGGTTTTTTATTGCTCAGAGTAATCATAACAATAATAATAAATTCTAATTAAAATTATCTTTTAATTAAATAATTAATTACAAGTTGTCTCCAATTCCCACTCCCTCTCCAACCAGCCAACCAACCCGCCCACTCACCCACCCACTCACTCACTAATCCACACTACCATTCATGTTTTATGATTCCTACTAAATGAGGTTTCATCGTTGTTATCATTCTCGTTCTTGTATTGTGTACTGACTGCTTGACTTCTATGCGTATCGGATGAAACAACCCAACAAAAACCAACAACGGAATTATCGCTTTACAGTCTTCTGTTTCCCGTAGTGCCTCACTTTATTGCTTTATTCTATTTTATCATCTTTTATCCATTCGTATGTCATATAATTAGGAATTCAGTAGTGCGCTTCCACCCTCTCCTCCAGTCGGTGTATTTTTGTCTGTCAGAGCAGATTTCATTGCTAAATCATGGCGTTGTTGTTATTTAAAATAGAATACACAAGTGCGGAATTATCTGTCGCTCTCTGTCTCTATCTCTATGCTTTGCGTGGGTGTGTCAGCCCCTGTGAGTGTGTGTGTGCGTGGGTGGGCGGGTGTGATTTCCTCTGTTTTCCCCAGGAGTTTCACATTTTTCGCATTTAACCTCATTCTTCTCTAATTTGACAATATATATCTACGTATTTATTCCTCACTGTCATATAATCGATCAAAATCCCGAATGTCCTTTAGAAAACTCTCTTCGTGAACTTGGAATTCAAAGCAAAAATTCTTAGAAATCGCCTTACTACATGTCTGAAGAAGACATTTCAAGCAGCCTTGTTTACGTATTACATTCTCCAGCAGACAGTTAATCCAGTCTAAATTCTAAGGATAAGATACCGCTGTAGGTCACCTCATTGTGTGTATTTGTCAGTTTACTTGTTCGTGTGGAGCATTGTAGATCGGTCGTCAATTGCAACGTCCAACTTAGCTAGCTTAGCCACCCAGAAGAGAAAAGAAGAACATCAGCAGCTCCATCCTCGAACAGCTTGTCAACTCTGGACATCGAACACCCCTACCTGCATGGATGCTTCACAGTGCTACACAGAGTCCCTCAATATCTTTCAGAGGGACTTCGAATACTCTCTCTGTATATAGCTGAATCATTGGCTATTCGGGATCTGAAACCGGACCTCTGTATTCAAAAGCACCACATACATTCACTCGCCACCCTACCATGGCCTGAGTAACGTTCTTACTATAATTTTTCTTCTTTTTTATTATATAAGTTTACCATTATTATTATTCTCCTCATTCTTACTGTATTATCAATCAGTTACGCTATACGTTTTTCGAGGGCAACTTTTACCAGTATCTGATCGGTCATACGATTTCTTTGTTAAATATAATTACGATTGTACAGTATTATTATTATTGTTTCCTTTAATTCCTACAGGAACATAGGGCTTCAGCCGTGCGTCTCCATTGCGTTCGCTTCTCTGCTAGAGTCTTCACCTGGCTCCAAGTCTGCCCACACGTTTTCATCTCCTCTTCACATGACCTCCTCCAAGTCACCCCACCCTCGCACTGACGACCAACTCGCCGCCGCTTCCCTTTCGGCCGGGTTCCACTCGAGCAATGGCTTGTCTAGTGATGTCACTTGATGGTTTGTTTCCTCAGAGTATGGCCAATCCATCTCCATTTCCTCCTGCCTATTTGTTTCACAATCGGTTCCTGCTGCGTTGGTTCACTCATTGCCAGAGATCCCTCTCTGTTGCTGATCTTTTCTGGCCGGCCATCTGATCTTGAGTATTGAGCGAAGACAACTGGCTGTTAATGAAGGTCTGTAGTTTGTTTGAGATGCTCTTTATGACGCGCAGTGCAAGTCTCTGATCCGTAGAACAGCACTGACTTCACATTGGAGTTGAAAATCCAATGAATCGTCGAAAAGAAAATTGTCTTCGGTGTTTAAGTCTTTTTCTTATGACTCAATATGGGAATATTCCATTCATATATATATATATATATATCGGATTGAAGGAAGTTAGAATTCCCGATTACTTGAGCTTTACCGACGCAAGTGGATGAAAGGTCAACGAGTTTGGTCTTGTAATCTGAAGATCCTGGAGTCGTGTATGTGTGTGGTGGTGGTGGTGGGATGTTATATACTGCCAAAGAGTTCTAAACCAGAAAGAAACACCTATCCACAAATTTCTGCTGATTTTCAATGGTTCTCTAACTGACATCAGTCCGTCATCAAGTTATCCATGTCCAAACCAAGTTCCCTTTCAACAGTTTGAAAAAGTTCATTGGGAAATAATAAAAAAACTTTTATAATCCTTCATCAAACTTATAATGGAGATTTCAGTGGCACACTGGGTGTTTGATTGTCTGTCAGTGGGGTTTATTAGTGTTAATCACAGTGTTTCCACAGTTTTATTGTGTGTGTGTGTAATTGGACACACTGAACAATCCTCCAACCAATCAAATAAAATCTCTACAAAAACCAGTACTTGAAAATTCATCTGATGCTCATTAGCTGGCGACTCGCCCTATTCAGGCGGTGACCTGGGGTTCCTCTGGGAAGCCGTCACTACTAGGGTGCACCAGGTTAAAAGGTGAGGCAGTAACTCATCGAAGAAGACAGTACGAAGTGGTCACACTATGTCG